AATGCCAGGAGCTACTAGTAGCGTCCTTGTTACGAGTAGCGATGCCCGCCCCTGTTTTTCCTGTTTGTTTGTTCGGCTGAACTGAGCAAGACTCACTGTCCGTCCCTTATGCACCAAAATGATGCTCAGCATGCTTTCTTGTCAGTTGCATCTCTAGCGCCTTAAGACAACACACATCAATGCCAACACCACTTTCCGGCATAGCCCAAGGGCTAGCTTTCGTAGAAAACATCCAAATTCACCATGTTTCAAAGGGTCCAAAAAGGGGTGGCGCAATGTTGCTTCTGACACTTAGTGCCCCTTGTAGGCAAACAACATAAGTCTGAGCTTCAAGCTTGCCTTTACCAGCCACACAAAGACTGAGGTCTTGCCACATGGTGCATTCTATAATACTGGTATGGAGATCACTGAGATCTTGTAAGGTGTTTGCTTCTTGTATTCAGGTTGGAGGCCATCGCTACGAGGGTGGAGGCCATCGCTAGTAGGTTGGAGGCCATCGCTTCTAGGTTGTGTTCATTTCTTCAGTTTGGAGGATTGGTCCAAATTCAGAAGTCCTTGCGTTGTTTGAGTTTTGGAGCTAGAGAAAATGTCATGTTTACAGCAGGCCTGTACAAAATTGACAGAACCAGTAGCAAATAGCATGCTAAGACTCTCTGGCAATCACCGATCTTGACCACTACTACTTGCCAACAGTAATTTGGGGGGAGTAAGCGGGTAACTAGCTGCTCTCATAAGGAGTAGGGGCTTCTCTGGCATTCTCAAATTCGCTCTCATCCAAGTCACCCAAGTGTCGTGACCACTAAAGAGCAAGGTCTTGTCGAAAATTGTTGAGATGAGCAATGGCCTTACATCAGCAAATCATTGGCACATGTGTTCAGTTAAAAATTGCAAGATGCTGTCGAAGCTGTCTAACGTTGTGCTTGAAAGCCAAAGTTGATATCTGGCAGATATGCTATCTGACAAATATTTGATGGTATCTGAATTTTGCTGGCCACCCGGCTGTGGCTTGCCACCAAGAAGAGGCAAGCTGGAGGCCAGGACTGTGTTCAGTGCCGTTACCTGGGCACTGAGGCTCTCTAAGACGTGCAAACAGTTACACTCGTCACTGAGAGGTGAAACCGCGGCCACCAATGCCAAATCCCGCCATCGACCTCCCAACCTCAGTCTCACAGGTTCACTCTTCAACGTGTCACGTATCTCCTTGCTCTTAGTAGTAAGGCCAGGAGCTACTAGTAGCATCCTTGCTCCTAGTAGCGTCCTTGTTCCTAGTAGTAAGGCCAGGATGCTACTAGGAGCTACTAGTAGCGTCCTTGCTCCTAGTAGCGTCCTTGTTCCAGTAGTAAGGCCAGGAGCTACTAGTAGCGTCCTGGCTCCTAGTAGCGATGCCAGGAGTCCCTAGTAGCGTCCTTGCTCCTAGTAGTAAGGCCAGGAGCCACTAGTAGCGTCCTGGCTCCTAGTAGCGATGCCAGGACTCCCTAGTAGCGTCCTTGCTCCTAGTAGCAAGGCCAGGAGCTACTAGTAGCGTCCTGGCTCCTAGTAGCGATGCCAGGAGTCCCTAGTAGCGTCCTTGCTCCTAGTAGTAAGGCCAGGAGCTCCTAGTAGCGATGCCAGGAGTCCCTAGTAGCGTCCTTGCTCCTAGTAGTAAGGCCAGGAGCTACTAGTAGCTGCCAGGAGTCCCTAGTAGCGTCTTTGCTCCTAGTAGTAAGGCCAGGAGCCCCCAGTAGCGTCCTTCCTCCTAGTAGTGATGCCAGGAGCTACTAGTCTCTTTGTAGTCTTCAGGTCTCAGGTCCACTCTTCCTCTTTCTTCACGTCACGTTTGCTCTTATCGTCCTATCTTTCTCAGGCTCCAACATCCCCACCAAGCAGCGCTTCAAGCAGGCACAACAGCCTCGCCGGGGTGCCTCTGCTGGAAAGCTGTGCCCGATCGACTTGATTTCAACAAATGCACCGGGTTTGAAGAAACCTCTGGCACTGCTTTGCAGCAAGTGCTTTGCAAGTGTACTTCGCTATGGGCCCCTAGGCATCCCACGCTTTCGCCCAGAAGTGGCTCTTGATTTCCAACCTCAGAAAACAACAGCAAGAGCATGATGTGTGGAACGCACTGACCTCACTTTGAATCACTTCGCATCTTGCCTTTATTTTGCCAAAAACTGTCAAGTTGCCACAAGTAGAGCACAAGTTTGCGCAAACTAAAATCGGATCGAGAGTGTACCATGTGCTTCAATGAGCAGCAACATGCTTTCTTGTCTGGCTACAGGCCACGGCTGCTGTTGTTGGCTGCGACTCCCTCAATCGCCACCTCTTCAACACCCCCGCCTGACAAGCTACAAAGCACTATATCAAATGCGAAAAGCAAAAATTGAGAAAATATTTGGAGAGAAAAGAAGCCAAATTTGTATCTTGTGAAACCCCGAGAAGCTGAGCACGGCAGCTGTGTAGGCGTGGCAACGCACCTTGCATTAGATGCACCATCAAGCGTATTAGGTGTAGTTATGTCGACTATCAGAGTACCAAAGCCTTTTGCAAGGCTGGTCTTCAGTCTTTATGTCCAAACGCAATTCATATATGCCTTAATCTGCTAGACTCCCAACTCCAAATCAACAAGAACAGCGGATTTGCCAGAGCGACAAAGAGAGAGAGAGAGAGAGACAGTGAGAGTGCAAAACATGGTTTGTTTGGCTCATGCAGGAAAGCTGCCCAAATACCACCTCCAAGACCACAAAGAATGCCTGGCTGTCCACGGGAGCCAACAGTACACCACGTCCACAGGTACTGAAACCGGCCAAAATCACTGAAATCTCTTCAGACTGTCCAAACAACTCGCCACACAAAAAGAGGTTTCAGTTTTATACATTAAACCGTAGACCGCCAGCGGGGGAGCGCGCCACAGAATCACCGCAAGCCAGGTGAGTTTCTGCGTGCCAATAGGAGGGTTGAGAAAGTTGCAAGGGGTGCCAAACATGAGGCTCAGGCCTGGAGACAGATCTGCCAGGGATGCAGACTTTAATCGTCAGAAAGCGACATTAGGCCAGTTTTTGTATGTGTCAATTCGTTTCTCGTGACTAAGGTTCCTAAAGGGGAGCTGAATGTGAAGAAAGAGGGTCCACGACAGTCACTAGAAACAGGGTGCTGTTCTTGCTCCTTCCTCTTACTCAAGCCGAGGCCGAGAAAACGACACTGATCAAGAACCAAGGCGCGGATGTACACGATAAAAACCTGACCTTTGCATTCTCATCCTCCCCTTCCCCTTCCTGCTTACTCTTCCTCCTTCCTAGCCCACTGTTGGCGTAAGCCTTTAAATCCCGCTATGCCATAAAGCCTTTTAAATCGGGCTATGCCATACTTGCTAGTTTTGGCTATTCAGGGGGTCCCTGCCGCCAACCCCGCCATCCGTTTGGTTTCGGTAAAAAAAACAACTCTGCTTCTAAATTGTTCTTCTGGAACGTTTTTGGGCCACATGTTGGAATTTACGGAGCGTGTGCAATTATAGTGAAAATGTCACTGCTAACAACATGTTTGATTGTTTAATCAGTTTGGGTCAGCCCGTACACTGCTTGGTTTTCATAATAACATCCCTTGCAATATGTTCGTGCTTTTGTTTTCTCTTTATCTCTATGTGTGAACTCCGTTTTAAAGTTCCCTTTGGCGTCTACTGATTACCTCTTGAATTCCTTACTCTTGATTCTTTTAAGTGGTAATTCTCTTGCTATACGTCATCAAATTATCAAAACAAACTATTCCACAAAGGGGTTAGCCCAGTACACTAGAAGCCTTGAATAAGAAAACCCTCTACATCAATTTTTGCCCCCTGTCGCACAACCCCCCTGGACTAAAGTCTACACTTCCTCATTTTTCCAATGATGTTATCCCCTCAAGTAATGTCTGCACTTTGCTCTGGTATGATCCTGCAATGATATCCATGTTTTCACGTTGCATTACTCTTATTTTTGACGTCTCTTTTTGAATTCTCCTGGAGGTTTTTACTAAATAGGGTGATTTGTTTGCCTCATCTCTTAGTAGGGTATATCAATCGATTGCAATCTATCCCACAAAAAGGCTGGGCCATTACACTAGAAATATTGGAATACAAAATTCCCTACCAAAAAAGAAGGTCGGCCCCTTGGCTTTAATCAAAGCATCCGCTGCAATCACGTTTACGTTTTTCATTGTGTTTTTTCTGTGTGACCTCCATTTTAGCAAAAAACATTGGTTGTATTGATTACCTATTGAACTCCTTTAGTTTTTTTTAAAGTATTCTTTTGATTCCTGTTGTTCTTCTTTTTGTTTTTTGATTCAAACTTTGAGATTTTTGATTGACTTTTTATACCACCTTCTCAAGTCTTGCCACACAGGGAGCTGACAAGCAGGAAAAGGTAGAAGAGCTGAGAAGTATGAAAAGTGGAAGAGCTGAAATGCAGGAAAAGCTAGAAGAGCTGAAAAGCAGGAAAAAGGTAGGTCATGGGCGAGCATATGTGTATATATATAAAGACTCGGACCGATCACTCATTTTTACAGCTTTGCAAGGCCAATTGTGTCAAGAAAATATGGACAACGACAGAGTTAACCAACTCTTATACTTCAAGAGTCCCCCTGAGTAGCCGCCGCCAAACCGAACAGCTATCCAGCCTCGAGGACTGGTTAGAGTTACCCTTGGTTGCTCCGCCAAACCCGGAGGACTCCAAGGCCTCGTAACTCTCGTTAAAAAGAGAAACTTCTCCCTCACTTCTCAAACGGCTCTTTTTCAGCTCTCCGCTTCTGTTTTGAAGGTTTGCTCTTTCTACCTCCACGGCCCCCGTCCTGCTGGAAACAGCGGGCTCAAGCGAAGGCAGTGGCTCGTGACATGAATTCGTATAAATGAGGCGAAAACGACGATTGCTAGGGGTAGATGGAAGATTCAGGCTAGTGAGAACAGCTAAACCATCATTGATGTATGTACGTGCCGCGCGGGCATTCTGCCAGCGACCGTACACCAACAACCGGTCTAATTGCCCCCACCCTTTAAACCAGTAGGTGGCCCCGCCTCTGCGGAGCGAGTAGGGTCTAAAATCACAGGCCTGGAAGCCTACGGCAGTCAGGGTGTCATTAAACTGCTTGCGCCACTTGGCGGGCTTCTCACAAAGCGACTCTCCAGGTTTGGCGGTTTGTTTCCAGTGAAACAGCCAACGAAGGACTTGCTCCACGGTCAAGGTCACACTCTCTGCGGCGCCTTGGCGCTGACCGCCTTTGGTAAAACCTAGGGAAACAACAGCTGGTCCACAAGCAGCATCAATGGCCACAGAACGCCCAACCAGCCCCAGAATCTCTCCCGTCCGCAGGACGCCATAAACATGGCATAGCCAACCATGGTATGAAGAGCCTCTTCAGGAAGTGGTGGGGCACGGGCCGGGATTTCATGTATACTCCACGCCTTAAGCAGGCGCCAAGTGGCGGGTAAACGCTTGCGCACATCAGGCTGGGCTCTTGCACGGCAGCAACGGTGTCAGAAGCCAAAGCGCGCCCAAACCCTTCACTCCACAAGTGCTCCAAGTATTCACATAGCCACTGGTCCAGTTCGTGCGCTTGGTCGGGCAAACGACGGCCTTCACTGCGAAGATAACTCCAGAACTGTTCCAGAGTCTTGTCGTAGCGTATGCGAGTGGAACTTTGGACTGTTAAAGACTTGAGGGTTGCCAGCTCTGCTCTCCTCTTCTTTCGCTCCTCTTGTGAGTGTCCTTCTACATACATCCTGCCTACTTTCCCCATGTTCGTCGGACGGGGCGCCGACTCGGACGGTCCGCAGGGTTCTGGTCAGTGTGAACATACGTCCACACAACATGAGATCCAGACACCAACAAGAGGGAGTTAATCTTGAGGAGAGTTCTACGCAATTTGCGGCTGCTGGAGCGGCCTCTGGCCAGGGCGTGAAGACACACTTGAGAATCAACAAGGTGAAGAAATTTGGAACGGAGCCACCCTTTCTTTCCAATTCTCCAACGCAGAGCGGTCCAAACCGCCCTCAACTCATGTGAATTGATGTGTTCAGGTGCTCCTCGCCAACGCCAACCACAAATGGTATGCCAGCGCCACAAATTCGACGGAATGCTAGCTCTCAAACGATGGTAGCGCTGCACGTCCTCCGAAGGGGCTTGCAGCAACAAGTCTTCACCTTTGCCACTTTCCATTCCTGTCAACTTTCGAGCCAATCGATCATCCAATGGTTCCACGGTAGTCCTAGGGACCCGCATGAAAGGACGCAACAAGAACCCCTGAAGAGAACGTCCGCCACCTGGTCGACACCGCTGCATGAGTTCCGACAAAGAACACGCACGACACAGACCTCGTGGCGTGCCAAGGCAGTAGAGCAACCATGCAATGACAAAAACGCACCAGGAGTTTCCAATCAGCGACAACCTTTCGTCAAGCCACCCTTGTCCCTTCCTTGCTCCTTTTGCAAAGCACTGTGCAGTGTAGCCCCGGGGGAACCCCATCAACATCTCGCGCTCCTCTATGTTCGGCAACCTGACTTGCCCATGCTTGTTTACCACACACAGAGCTTCACGGTATTGATACGGGGGAAACCGGTGCTGGTCATCATACCAACGTTGTAGTTCATCTGCATTGCACTACTGAATGCCTGCGGGTCGACGGCCTGGGGCGTGTCGAGGGCGACTAGTGGTGAAAGTCGGGAAGGGCTCTTGGCTACACTTACGCCAACCAGGTTCCAAGCGCTGCTCCACGTCATATGCATTCTCCAAGGTCACTTCGGTGACACGCTTCCAACCTTCTCCAGAGACTGAGGAGATGGAGGCCCCAGCGGACTCCTCCAACTCCCACGACGGCCAGTACAGGCGGGGACGCCGACAACCAGTCACTCTGCAAGCATCAATGAGGATGGGCGCGCTGTTGACGGACTGGCTCATGACTTCTCGGTCAGCAGTGTCCATGGAAGCAACGACGGAGTCCATTAAGCGATGCACTTGTGCCCAAGGAAATCGTCTCCTAGCAAGGTCATAGATGCGTGCCACATGAGGAAAAAAGTTGCTCCGGTGGTCTTTGAGCGCTCCTCGCCGATCAACGTTCAAGCCCGAGACCCCTTGACACGGTGGTCCCGCGCCCACAAGCACAACCGACACTTGGCTAAAAGAACATGCCTACTGGTGCACCATCTCGTCATTGACTTCCTGAACATTCTCCACAAAGAGGGTGCCGGGAAATCGGCTTTCAACGACCCGTCGAGCAGGACCATGGCACTCCACCGACACATGCCCAATCACACTCATGCCAACCGCATCAGCGGCAACACGTAGGCCTCCTATGCCATCAAAGAGCCTTACGGTGAGAACGGCGGGAACCTCCTGAACGTCCACCACATCACCTCGAACAGCCTGGTTTGCAGCAATGGTCCCTATCTGCGACAACCCTTGCGACACCGTCACACCTCCACCAGTGCTCGACGCATCTGACGCGGTGACCACACCAGAGAGGCGCAAGCGAAAGTCCATCTGAGACAAAGGAGAAAGCAAACAGAACCTCGCCAACTCTGTTCGCACTACCGGTGGAATCACCTGGCACCATGGTCCCTGCTCAAACCCTTGGACAAACTGCCAAACTGCGTTCAATGCACCAAGAAGGGGTCGCCGGAAAGTACTAATATACACAAACCCTCCAGCGATCATCTGCATCTGCCTCTGTGTACAACGACCACTCTCCATCAGCAACTGGCACAAGTGAAGGTACTTAGTAAGCGTGT